AAGAGATATTATGAAAAAGGCGTTAGAAGACATAACTATCTTTCTTTATTCAGTGATAGACAAAACAGAATTCATAGAAAATGTTCGAACAATATACGCTAACCAAGAGATTTCAAATACCTTAGGGTTTTGCTATTTTATTTCCTTCATAAATATATCTCGTGCCCTCATGAAAATAAAAAATAGATTAGTAATGGAAGTAATGGATTAGTAATGGAAGCATTTGTCATAGCTAGTGAAGAAATAATCTTCAATTTTTAACTGTACATATATGAAATGTAAATATAATTTCTTTTCGAGCCTTAAATAATGTTGATCTTGTAATAGAACGAAATACTTGATACTTGTAGTTGGTTTATCCTGATTGCCCCCTTCCTCAACATATTCCCAGAGAAAGAAATTCAGGGGCGTGAGATATGGGGACCTTGCTGGCTAATAGACGGGTCCGTTTTTTCTTTCTACCCGGTTGTGGGGAGGAGCACCATCATGTTGGAAATAGTATCTCCCTTTAGAGTCAATTGGTACTTTTTCCAAAAAATCCTCTTGTACGAAATTTTAATACATGTGTCCATTCAGTGGTCATCAAAAAAATGTTGTCTGATGACCTGACCCCCAAACATTAGTTGACCATTAAGTTCAATTGTGAATTTCTCTGACCCAATGGAGATTATTGGTTGAATGGTAGAGGCCATTATATCTGTTAACCATTCCATTGCCAGAATGTTGACTCGTTACTGAATGGAATATATTACGGTAAATACGTTTCCTCATGTAGCGAATTCTATTTTCATGATACCTTCGATGGAGTTCATGATATGATTGAATTTTTTATAGATGAACATAATTTTTTCAGTATGCGGTTCGCTGAAGTATGACTTAATATGCAAGATCCAAATCACTTGTGATATCTCCAGTGCTAATATATCTTCAAATTTCTCCTTAATTCTTCAAACATTCTCTGGTTCCATTGACATTGAATCAAAATATTTTCCATCATGTCATTAGTTGACATAATCTGAGATTCGTAGGAAATACGAATTCCTTTTCTTTATAACTAATAACTTTGTTGGCAATTCCTGAAATATTTAGATGTTCAAAAGGTGTTTAATTTATGAAAAATGAAAAAATGAGTTAGATACTATAATAGCTGCTTTCAGTCAGCAAATTATGAACAATTTGTGATGACTGTAAGACTCTTGTGTCAGATTCTTTGGAAATACGAATTATTTTTCTTTATAACTAATAACTTTGTTGGCAATTCCTGAAATATTTAGATGTTCAAAAGGTGTTTAATTTATGAAAAATGAAAAAATGAGTCAGATATTATGATAGCTGCTTTCAGTCAGCAAATTATGAACAATTTGTGATGACTGTAAGACTCTTGTGTCAGTTTCGAGTAGAGCTATGAAGATGATAGCACAATCTGCAATCGAAAGCGCTCGCATATAATAATTAGAAGTTATTGAAGCTTTAAATCCTTTTTGTGAACAAGTGTTGATATCAAAACATTAAAAGAAAGGTAAACTAATTGCATTTTTTTGAATACTTCTATAAAATACCCCTAATCATCTACGCCGTTCACGGCATCTCATTAAATATTCTAATTATCGTCCTTCGTTTCTTAAATACATATTCACAACAGTAATTTTTTGTCAAATTTGAAGCGTTTGTGGAGTTATAGCCATGCAAGCCCTCATTTTTGTTTTTTCAATTCGTCAATATTGCCAAAAGTTGAGCAAAATACTTTGTATTTGATGAAGCCCCATAATAAAAAGTCCAAAATGGTCAGATCAGGTGAACGTGGTGGCCATTTGATAGGACCATTGTTTTCTATCCATCGTCTTGGCAGAGTGGTATTGAAAAAATATCTAAGAATAGTTCTGCGATGTGGCGGAGCTACATCTTGTTAGAAATTCTGATATTTGTTCAACTAGAGTTTCCGACAAGAATTCCAAATATAATTTCCCTGTCAAAGATGTCTCAAAAAATCAGAAACCTATAATCTTGATGTCTAACACAATAAGCCAAACATTAATTCCAAATCTCTTTTGGAAATGTGTCGCTCTATGTAGGAAGAAATGTTTTCGTCATCGGTGATGATGAATATTATGCTGAACTATCCGTTATTTGTGAAACTTCTCTCATCACATCATAAAATGTTATTACATATTTCATTATAGCCATCTACAAAATATTTGCGTTAAACGCAAATGTAAAATTCATCAAACTAACTTAGTCGATGTAGAACTATGATGTGCAATCTCTCTCAACTAATTTGATCTCAATTTTTCGGTATTTTACAAATCTTGAATCAAATAAATATTACAAACTTTTATTTTACATGAAAATTAGTTTTTGAACACTTCTTCCATGTTTATATAATCGTCTAAACATTCTAATGTTCGGAATACGACGATTTGGGTATAACTCACCTTACATAGGTTTTTCATTTGATTTTGCGTAAGTAAATAGCATATCAGTCTTGTCGTCATTTGAATACATCTTCAGTATGTAACCGAGTGCATAAACGTCTGACATTTCTCAACAGATATCTACAACTCATTTATGTTTTCCTTCATATAATTCAAACAAAGCCTACGCGTTTAAAAGTTGTAAACTAAGTGAAATGCTATTCAATTGTATACAACAATCATATTTTGAACAAGAATTATTATTTTCGTTACTTCCAGGATTGATAATCGTAAACATTTTTCATTAAGATTTGATTGAGGAGAAATCAACCTTGAAACAATGATTACTGTAATATAAACATTTCCAAAAAGGAAAAATACGAATGTTCGTGTGTTGGATGTATCTTATTATCGAAATTATTGGATAACGTCTGAAGTCAGCCATTTGAATTCGTTTTAAAAAAATCAAAACAATTCACAAAGAAACTAGCGGCAGGACCGTAATTTGAAATTGTTGTCATTGACGATGCTAGTTATTTTGAATGAAACGCTTTGAAAATATCGAATGTGGTATACCACTATATCATCAATTTATCGCTTTATCAATATTTGTAATGAATGAGACAGTTTCGTAAAAAGTTGATAGTGACCATGTTAACACTAAATGTTCGATCGAAGATCTATTATTACTATTACTAATACAAGCGGATTGTTCGATTGCAACAACAGCCATAGAAAAAGCAAATATACCAGCTGAAGTCACCACCTACTATTCCCACATTAGAATCCACAATGCCCTAAATTACTTTTCGACAACGTCCAGTAAGACGAATTTTAAAACAGCTCAATATCAACAAGGCGTCTGGTCCTGATGAAGTATTCGTCATCGTACTTAAAAATGCGCAAATGAACTTCGCACCAGTATTTGGCGGACTTTTCAACCTGTCTCACAAGAAATGAGGTCTTTCAAATAACTATAGACCAGCCGCTTTGCTATCAGTGATATCAAAAATTACCATATCATAGGCATAGGAATTTTGAGCGAGCATCAATATGGCTTTCGGAAACAAAGGTCAACAAGCGACTTTCTATCGTATGTCACCCATATTTGAAATAACGCAATCCAAAAACATGTTGAGTCAACAGCTGAAGCGCCTTGACCGTGTGTGGCATGAGGGTGCGCTGCCAAACTTCGAAGCTATGGCTTTGTCATTCCATTTGGAATCCAGTACGACGACGACGAATGCTTATATGAACCGGCAGCAGGAGGTTGCATATCTTAATGATGATCTAGAAGAATTTCGAATTGGCATGGAAATAACAGGTTCAATTCAATGCCACAAAAACCTAGGCATCGGTTTTCTACAAAAAGATAAATGTCTCCGAACTGGTCAGGTCAGACAATTCCACTTTCTGCTTCGATAAGTTTGATGTGGGTTTAAATGGACACCAATATGTCTTGGCACAATCATGTCACTGGATTTGCAAAAGCCGCTTTTCGAAAGTTTGGAACACTGGTCCAAACTAGAAAGCTGTACATACCTCAGCTACTTTTGAAGCTTTATAAAGCTCAGATCAGGCCTCCTTTGGAGTATTGTTCTCATGTATGGAGCTCCACCCCTAAGCATACCCTGAAGCTGATGGATTCCATCCATAAAAGAGTCATCCGCCTGATTGGAGACGTGATAGTGATAGTCTGGAACATCGATGAAAGGTTGGAGATTTGTCTCTCTTCTATAGATACTTTCACGGGGAGTGTTCAAGTGTGTTGGCACATTTGATTCCACCAAGAGCGGTACATATCAGAAATTTTTTGAGGTTCAACTCAGTTCACCTCGAACTTCACTGTTCAAGAACTCTTCCATTTGGAGAACAGCGTTCATGTGGAATAAACTTCCTGAGACCGTTTTTACAAATGGATTCAATTTCCAGCGATTCAAATCCAATAGAATGACTACTTCCGCAAAGGCACCGCTCTTAGAGAAAATCAAGGATTTTTCTGTGCTTGTGATTTGTCTTTTGAAAAAACTTCGTGACAGTACATTTCAAATACAATGAAATCGTCTCCATATCTGTTACGGTTTAGAATATAGTAATGTTACCACATGATGGAAGAAACGGTGTAATTGGTTCAACTTGTAAATCGATAAATGAGTAAATTAATTACTTTTGAACATGAGTTTACTAGTCAGGCTCTATATCTCTCCGATAATCCTGAAGAGTGTGCTGATATCATTTCAACGTGTGGATATGAGTTGATTGATCCCGACTATCATGTCTACCTTTCGAGCTGTGCTTCTGTGAAATATTTATATCTGATTTTTTGAGATGAAAATATAATCTTTCTTTTCCATGCTCATTGCGTAAATCTAATTCACGCACTTGATTAAATCTTTCAAACTCTCGTAAATTTTTAAAGCGACGTATCGATTGTTTTTCCTGCACGGCCCTCTCTTATTCGGAGGATAAACTTGGAAAGCTGAACTTTGCTCGTCTTCTCTTTTGAACTTTTCTCGGTTACAAAATAATATCGGTGTTAGGTGATAAAGTGAGGTTTATTCTAAAATTTATTTAAAAAAAATTACTTACCGTTTTTGGCAACGGGTAGAAAGGTTTGCTGGACTTTTCTACATTTGATGGAAAAGGCATTCGGTCTAAAGAGTGCCATTCTTCAGATTTTCTCTTTCTGTTGTAGTACTTATACACTACTATAGTCATGGCAATCAGGAGAGCAGTACCAGTACCCAGGGCGGCTCCAAATACTGCGGATCCAACCATTTCTAGAAAATTAAAATACGTAAACATAATGAACGTTTTTGAATGTGGAATTGGTGGACGTTTGACGACAATCCAGAATGAGTTTCTTTGAGAAATTAATAACGAATGAAACGTAATAGTATACTAAAGTATAAGGCCTCACGAGTTTTTGAGTACAACGGCGCAGTTGGATCGTTCAAAATAGAGCGTTTTCTAGACTTTATACCCACAAATAATTTTACACTTTTTTTTGATTGGTACACTTCAAAATCGTCATCTGTCACATATTTCAAATACGGGTTTTTCTGTTATCCCGCTGTTATCCCCACCTGAACACAAAGTCGATATTTGTGTCCCAAAAAGATCAAACCTGCATCAACATAGCAGTGATTTCATGAGTAGAACTATTTAACCAAGCGACTGATTGTAACGAAAAAAAGGAATACACCTTACCAAAAAAACTACTTTCTCTTAGGGTGACTGCAACCAATCCAGTTTCTCTTTCTCAAATCTTTCTCAGTAATCAGTAAAAACGTATGAGTGATTTTCATGGGTAAACTATTATAATCATACTCTTCCACGTTGTGGAGTGTAGAAAACTTTGAAGAGTTTACATTTACATTTATTGAAAAATTAAAAAAAAAAAAATTGACCCTTTGATTGGGAACCAGAGCCAAATTACAATGAATTTATAATTCAACACCAGACAGCGCTGTTTTGATCCGCCATACAAGCCGCACGAACAAGCCTGACATCTCCCCTTACGAAGACGCCATCTATTGGATCGACAGAGAACTCCCCTCTGTAAGACAACTTTTTCCGTTGGGGAACTGCGGGCGGTAGCGGTGCAGATTCTCGATGGTAAGGCGACTGGAATAGATGGGGTCCCCAACGAAGTGATTCGAAGGGCGACAGAATGGGTTGGAGAAAGTATGCTGAGATTATTTAACGCCTGTCTGGAAAGAAGGTATTTTCCGGCGGTATGGAAGCGAACAAAGATTGTATGGGTACCGAAGAAGGACGGAAGCCCCAGACCCATCAGTTTACTGACAGGCATAGGGCAGATGTTGGACAGGCTTCTTAACGGTAGGGTTCAAGTTTGGTGCGAAAGGGAGTTGAAATTCTCTCCAAACCAATATGGTTTTAGAGGAGGAATGGATACGGTAATGGCAGTAGAGAAAATGGTGAAAAGGATTAAAGAAAATAAGAGAGGAAGGAGACACAGTCTGGTTGTAGCATTGGACCTGTCCAATGCCTTTAATACCGCTTGGGCACCGGCGATTGAGAAATGCATGAGACGAATGGGTGTGCCGGAAAACGTAGGGAGGACGTGCATGAGTTTCATAGGGGAGAGAACAGTCACCTGTGGAGCGGTCTCGGATAACGTAAACAGAGGCTGTCCATAGGGTTCAAGTCTGGGATTAACCATATGGCTGATTGTGATGGAGGTATGGTTCGATCGAATCAGAAGCATGAAAGAGAGACAAGGCATAGGTACGATTGGGGTACAAGTGCAGGCCTATGCGGATGACCAGCTTGTCATCATCGAGGGTAGCTCTGCAGATGACATCGAGAGAAAATGGAATCTGGTCTGGAATGAATGCAAAGCATGGGAGGAAGAGATGTGGGTGGAATACAATGAAAGGAAGACAGAATGCACGTACATACAGGCCAGACGGGATGAAAGAATCCTGGTCATAATGGTGAATGAGAGAGAAATTGAGGTCAGAATGAATGTAAAATACCTGGGAATTGTGGTGGACTCTGGACTCTTATTCATTGACCACCACAAACAGGTAAGAAAAAAGCTAAGCACATTGTCGGGGAAAATGAGAAGATGGACCGGGAGGAATATTGGAATGAAGAGAGGGTGTGTTAGAATAATCTATGAAAGGGTAGCGAAACCTGCAGCTATGTATGGGGTGCAAGTGTGGGGGAGTAGAGTGCATGACAGTAGACAGTAGAGACAGCTGGGCGCGGCCCAGAGGCCCGTTCTCATCGCCGCATGTGGGGCATATGGGACGGCGCCGACAGCCGCGCTCAGTGTGATCACGGGGATAGCCCCACTTCATATAGAAGCTGGGGCTAGATACCATGAATGGAGAATGAATGGGGAAAGGAAGACTCAGGACAGATTGAAAGGTATAGATAAGATACTTCCCTGGATGCAAGGGGGTTTACTGGAGGAGTCGCAGGAAGAAGGGATGGACGAGGTATATGTGGATGCCGGAGCGAGAATGGACGAGGAAAGAATGGGCATTGGATGGGCGCACGAAAGGAATGCAGGTGAATGGGCTCTATGGAACGAGAGGAATCCCGAACAGAGCAGTGTGAACTGCTCTGATTGCCATAGAGAAGGTGATAGAAATGTGGGGTATGAATGAGAACCTAAGGGTGATCAGTGACTCCGCAATTGCGGTGGAAAGGATGAAAGTGGTGCGTGTGGGGAATAAAAGGGTGGCTAGAATACAGAGAATAATTGAGGAGAGGTATAAAAGTAGAGCACGGACCGAAATCGTATGGCGCAAGGGTCACCTACATGACAACCCCGGTAATAAAAAGGCCCACAAGGAGGCGGAGAAAGGAATGCATAGGGATAGTATTTCATGGAATGTGAGGAGAATGAGTAGTAAGAGTGAGGAGAGAAAGAGAATAAAGGAATGGATTAAAGAAGAATGGCAGCGAGAATAGGACAACAGTATGACTGGGCGACTGTTATACAGGTTTTGTAGAACAGTCGGGTATGAGTCACTGGATCTGTCGAGGAAGGCAGTCCAGCTGTTCACGGGGCATGGTAATTTCCCGGGATACTTGGCTAGGTTTAACCTGGCGCGGGAGGTGCCGTGTCCATGTGGATGGGGGGAGCCTGAAACGGCAGAACACGTGATAGAGAGATGCATGCGCGGCGATAGAACTGGGTGGCGCGAATGGAAAGAACGGCTGGAACAAGAGAAGGAAGGAATGCAGATGAGAGGCAGGAATGGAAGAAGAAATGAATGGATACGTGTGGCGAATGAGTGGGCAGAGAGTGTCGTGAGAGACGAGAGGGACGGATGAGAGGCAAGCTACCAATGATGCTGTTGAAGAAACGACGTTAAAGTAGCGAAGATCTTCCCAATTAAAACAGCCATGGAATAGATGCTATCTGACTTGTGGAACTCTTACAGGCTGAAAATGATTTGTCAATACCTAGAGAGAATTGTTTAGTTAAGTTGAATTAGTTAAGACTATCTTGAAGAGAAATATAATAGTTAAGTATAATTAGTTAAGTTCAATTTATTATTCATTTTTGAAAGTTGTAAAAATGTAAATCTGGTTTGTTTTTTTCAATAAAGTTATGGGTCTTTGATCCTCGGTAATTTGGACGAGCACGGGTCCTTTGAACAGTGGTGATGCTAGGATAGAGGGAAGATGCCTAGATAAAAGGCTTTCGAGCCAGGGCAGCACAGGGCAAAGGCATTATTCATGTAAGACAACTAGTTAAAAACCAAAGCCCACAAACACACAGCAAATCTCGTCGGCGCAGCGGTCGATATTGAAGCTTGGCTTTGCAACTGCAACCATATTGAGGTAGTTGTGTAAAAATATGCAATCCGCCATTTTTTAGCTGCGGCCATCTTGAATTTTCATCTTTTTTAAAGTGTACTGCTATTCTACTAGTCAAGCCAATATTGGTAACCATATTGAGGTAGTTGTGAAAAAATATGTAATCCGCCATTTTGTAGCTGCTGTCATTTTGAATTTGCATCTTTTCAAAGTGTACTACTATTCTAGTAGTCAAGCTCTGTCATTTGATATCCATATTGAGTTAGTTGTGAAAAAATATGTTATCCACCATTTTGAAGCTGCGGCTATCTTGGATATACCATGATATAGAATTCATTAAATTACATTGTCATCAGAACTAAATGTGGGTACCAAATTTCAGATCAATCTGTCAACAGATAGGGGGTTAAACTTCAATTATTAAATTTGACTCAAACAAAAAAAGGCCAAGCTGAATAAAACAACGTAACTATCGTGGGAAACAGCACAAAGTAGAAAAAAAATTTACAAGGACTCTCGTCCTTCTCGACTTACACAGGAAAAACTGGAAATTCTGTTTTTGGTTTTTACGAATACAATTTTCATTTCAGAAAATATAAAGAAATTTTATTCATGTACTATGTACTATAACTATGTAATAATAAATCTTTGATTAAAAGTTTCGTGTCAACACGACCACCATCAACTTTTTTAAAACAATGAATCTGCCTAAACTGAAATAAATTGAATTGAACTTAATTGAATCATTCGATTCATGTCACTTTATCATGTTTTTTTAATTAACCTACATGTACTTCTGTTATATGATGTTCAAACCTAGATTAGGTCCTAGTTTTGAAATATGATACCGAATCATTATTGATGCATTCATGTTTAAAAATGATCTTTGTTGAGCGGCAGATTTTAAACAGAAACAGTGGTAGAATAGCGTAAGCTAAACTATACTAAGATAAAAATGAAGACCATTTTTTATCATTATTATCAAATACAGATCTGCCTATTTTAATAAAAATATTGATAAAGTGATAAAATCACAATTCAGTGGTTTGTATTACATTAATCTTCCTTTCAAGGCCTATTACTCCCGAATCAACTTCTATAAAGAATATTTTCAATTCTCGATCCTGGAAGTAAAGAAAATGTTGGTTTTTCATCAAAAAATGATTGTTGTTCATTTGGTACAATTGAATCATATTTCACTTCTTTAATAAAAATATTGATAAAGTGATAAAATCACAATTCAGTGGTTTGTATTACATTAATCCTCCTTTCAAGGCCTATTACTCCCGAATCAACTTCTATAAGGAATATTTTCAATTCTCAATCCTGGAAGTAAAGAAAATGTTGGTTTTTCATCAAAAAATGATTGTTGTTCATTTGGTACAATTGAATCATATGCATCTCCACTCACAAACGATTTTGGTGAAATTGGTAACACGTGCCAGTATAGGGATGTCTGCACAATGCTGTATAATGTACGCTGTAGGTAGACCCACTGTGATTCGAAAGTGCATAAAGATTATAACGATTAAAGGAGTCACATTGTCTGCTGCATAATTGTTCATGTTGATATCTGTTGAGAACTATCAGACCTTTATTAAAGATGTATTCAAATGACGAAATGAGTGATATGCTATAATATCAAATAGAAACTCTCTTCTGGTTAGAAATATGCATGTTGAACTTATCCGAATCGTCGTATTGACAAATGTATAGACGATTACAAAGAAATCTGAGAGACACTGGTCCATCTGACAAAATTAAAACTAACAAATGTATTTTTACTGGAAGTGTAAGGAACCAAATAAATGTTTTGGGTAAGCAAAAATTACCCCGTGAAAATAAACTAATTTTAAAAAACGTTTTGTTAATTTGAGAATTGGTAAAATACAATTATATTTCTAATCAAGATTGTTCTTCACGAGAAATTGACCAAGAACCAGGAATTTTTGAAAAATCTACCAGAAATATTTCAAACAAGAACGAATACAAAATACTACAGAATACACGAGTTCCACATCTTGATTAAAGGGAATATGGACGGAGATTACGATTCGCGAAGTGGTTGAGATGTAGAAAAAGGGAGGTTGAAAATATTTGTAAAAAAATTATATGAACGGATGAATCAGAATTCAACGATGGTTGATTTTACAGAAACATCCATTATAGGTAGAATTATATAAATAAATATTCACCTAGAGAAATCAATTTCAAGAAAGGGTCGGAACAAATGTTTGGTTGGGAATTTCGGGAACAAATATACTGGATTCTCTCTTTCAAGATGAGCATTTGAATAGTGATATGTATCTACTTTTCTTATCCAATGAGTTTGATGGCTACTCACATGAATTGCCACTGAACATCCATCGTGAAATATGATATTTTCAACAAGACGCTGCCCCACAGCAATAGTAAGGGAATTTTTAGACCATGGACCAATTGCCTGGCCAGCTCGATGCCCAGACCTCACTCCTTTAAATTTTTTTTGTCTGAGGAAACATGAGGGATAAAGTTTTTTCGGCATTTAGTACACATATCGATCATCTCAAACGAAAAATAAGAAATTCATAAAAGAAGATCACACACACACATCAGGCTAGAAAATTGTCTCAGAAATTATATGAACTTCTTTGTTGAATGCATAAGAATACATGTAAAATTCATTTGATTTTTCTGTTTGATTGTTGTCGCTGATGATGCTACTATTTTTGATATAAAGAAATGAACTTTAAACGTTCAAGCCAGTCTCGAATATACCTACACCGTAGGTTGAATGGAGTGACACATATCAGAAAACAACTACTCCCCTGGCTAATACCACGAAGGGCGTTGGATTATATCAGACAGGCGTCAGTGCATATGCAATTCGCAATACAACTGAAAGAGTCGACCTTCAATTTTGGAACGGGTACACTTCCAGACAGGTTTCGGGCTCAATAGCCACTCATCAGTGCAAGATAGTGGCCATCGTTGACCTAAGGTCAATGATATTCCATAATTTAAAATCTGAATTCTTTCAGAGTATTTCATTCCTCTTCCTAAGTTGGAGCGAACAACAAAATATCACTCCATCTAGTGGACGAGGTACTAACCAACTGCATACCCGAAATTTGCTCGCTTCCTCTGAATAAAGAAGAAAAACTTTCTTATTAG